CACACACACACACACACACAGTCACTGATCTCAGCAGGATTGTTCTTTTTTTTTTTTTTTTCTTTGACATTTCGCTCACACACGCACACACACACACAGTGAGTGATCTCAGCAGGATTGTTCTTTTTTTTTTCTTTTTTTCTTCGACATTTCGTTTGATCACACACACACACACACAGTCACTGATCTCTGCAGGATTGTTCTTTTTTTTTTTTTTTTCTTTGACATTTCGCTTGAGCACACAAACACACACAGTTGCAAACACACACTGTTGGGATTCGGCAACTCACCTGGTTGAGCGTTGTGCGTGCAATCAGCATGTCCATTTTTCAAACACAGGCGGAAAACAAGAAACATCACAAGATTCAAGACAAAAAAAAACTGCCAGGCTCAGTATCCCAAAAGCGGAGTTTGCAAAGTTTGTTGTTTCAGGAGCACAAAAGCGCGCAAGGACACACTACCCTCACTATACTAATTCGCAAATGTCTACTCRTCCTCCTCCCCGGACTGTTCTTCCCCGTCTGACTCMGCCTGCGACTTGTCCTCATCCGACTCATCGYCGTCCGCCTCYCCACTATCGTCCGATTGYTGGSACGTTTCCTCCTCCTCCYGCGGTGARCTGTCTTCGGACGACGATGACGAGGATGAAGAAGACTGCTTTTTCCGGCTGGGACCCGGATTTTCTTCGTCATCCTCGATCACCTCGGCCGTTCTCCTCCTCGAAGGCCTTCCCACCTCGGCTGCTGCAGCCCTTGCGGCCTCTGCACGTGCTGCTGCATTTGCAGCCTTCTTCGCGGGCGAAAGCGGAGGCCGCCCTCTCCTCTTTTTTGGTGCTGCATCCTCCTCCGCGACCTTCCTCTTTCGTTTCTGAACCGGCCGTTCCTCGGCAACATCCGATGTCATTGCCTTCTTCTTGCGCCGCTGTCGCCCCGACACTTCCTCCCTCCCCTGCACCCATTCATCGGTTTGACGTGCCTTCAATGCACGGTCACGACCCTCCAACGTGTACACGAACCCGGGTTCGGGCTCTTGACCACCAGACTTCCTGCGCAGCTCCCGCATCCGGTGCTTCCCGGGCTTCATGTTCGCGTGCCATGTTCTCTCCAGCGAATCAAGTGCGGCGATATCGTCTTCGTCATCCGCGAAGTTCTCCTCCTCATTGTTCCGCAGCCATCTGCGCTTTAGCGGGGCATCATTGAAATCGTCCGCACGGACCACCGTCGCAGCAACATCATCGGCTGTCCATTCCCTAACCTGTGCAGCCCATTCGTCAGACCACTCATCCACCTCCATGCTTGCCAGCTCATCGTCCTTCCACGGGATGTGCACGTTTTCCCCGTCCCCTCGCTCTCTTCGCGTCGACAATTGGATATTCCAATTGTTGTACACCAGCTTGTTCAATCTCTCTGGCAACATCTTCGTGCGGCGTTGGCCGAAAATGAGCTGGTGCAAGCTCCAGTTTCGCTCGCACGCAGCCGACGAGCTCGCCTGCCCAAGGAGTTTGATCGCCTGCGGTTGGAGGAGGTCCAAAGACCCCCCGAACGCCTCCCACCATAGCGCTGGAGTTCTTCGAACTCGCCTGGTCCCTTGCGTTCTTCGACCCCAAAGTGCCCAATCCCTACACCCACATGTCCACTTGTCTGCTGATTTCTCCCTGCATCAGCTTCGGTGGCGCCCACGAGTAAAGCCAAATGTTGAACCCCTCGCGAATCTCTGTGTCTCGCATGGTGTGCGTCCTGTACTCGGGGTCGAGGAAGGCGGCCGCGCAATGCAGTTCTGATGTCATGAACGCCCACCGGTCCATCAAAATCTTCTCCACATCCGCTTTCTCGGCCTCCGACAGGCAGTCCAACGTGCGCATTCTTGCCACAACCGCGTCCATGCCGAAATACACTTTGCTCATTGTTACTCCTGGACCGTCCACCAAACGAAGGAGCTTGACAACTAGCTCCATCACCGCAATGGCCTTATCCACAACCTTCCAGAAGCCGTTTGTGTCCATGATGATGTGGGTGACGGCGTTGAATGTCGCCCCCTGCTCCCCCCTCACCAACTTCTCCACCCACGCGGCATTGCAGACGCACAGCTCCGGCATTGCAGACGCACAACTCCAACGGATTCCTCCCCGCCTTCAGCGACTGAAGCATCTCAAAGTTCGTTGCGAATCTTGTGACCGCCGGCCGTTTCAGTTGTGCATTCGCGATCCGGTTGTACATTGCGCGGACCTTGTCGACGTTCGTGAAAAACTTGCCAACTTGATTGCCCTTGTCGACGACCACCTTCAGCCAGTCCATGCACTTGTACATGTCCTCCAGGGCCAGATCCAAGGCATGGGCTGTGCAGCCCACACTGAAAATACCGGGGTACTTGGCCTCCACCATCTTCCCTGCTTTGGCGCAAACCCTCGCATTGTCCATCACAACGTCGACAATGGACCCCGCGCCGATCTCCTGGATCACCCCGTCCAACAACTTGAAGTACGCTTTGGAGTCCTTCTCCCTCCCCTCCATGCACACAGACTTCCAAAACACAGTTCCGACCGGGGAAGACACCATGACGTACAGGTGCGGTTTGTTTCGCCGGTCTGACCACCCGTCCATTTGGAGCATGCACCCTATTCTCTCCCACCTCTTGACCAGTGACCGCGTCTCCCCCCCCACCAACTTGTACTGCCCGTCCAACCTTTTGTCCTCATCTCGTCCCTCTTGCAAGGCAGCCAGCTGGGATGGCACTTCTTCACGACATCGAGGAAGTCAAGAAAGTAGTAGTTTTCCACCATACTGAATGGCTGATTCGTGCAAATCAGCCACCGACTCGTCTACTCGTTCCGGGTGACGATACTGTCCGCCTCCTCGAGCACAGTCTGTCTCACCGACCGTCCACCACTTCCAGGGGCAGGAGGGAAGCACGTCTCCGATCCTGCATGCGAGGACGTCTCACCATCACTCGGCCTCTGTGCTGATGATGCTGGAGGCACGAAACTGCTGGAAGACGGTCCTGTGCTCGGACCAGCACCTCCACCGGTTGCGCCTTCGAGCTGACTGGCCTGGTGTTTCCCCAGCCGGATGCCCTCAATTCTGGTCACCCTCTCCTCCGCTGTCAATGCACGAGTCACAAGCTCGATACTGCACTTCGTCACTAAGTGCCTCTTGAGGACCGACTTTGTGCCAACGAACCGAGTCTCGCAGTAGTTGCACAGCCAGTGCCTCGACCCCTTGCCAGGGTCCTTGCCGTGAGGACCTTCATTGGTGAAGTGCCTCGTGAGAGACTGCAAGATCTGCTTCACCAGCGCCATCGACAACTTCGCCTGCGCACACAGAACCCACAGACAGGTGGACATCAGCCCCTCTTTGACGCCCCGCAAACCCTCCTCCAAGGCCCTCTGACACTCCTTCCCTCCCCTCGAACCCTTATGGAGCATATGTTAAAAACAAAAAAGGAGAGAGAGAGAGAGATCCTGGTGGGAGATGGGAGAGAGAGAGAGAGAGAGATGTCACGCTTCGATCGAGATATGGACCATATCTTCAAAAAAAAAAAAAAAAAAAAAGGAGAGAGAGAGAGAGAGAGAGAGAGAGAGAGAG